AGCGCGTAAAACCGTAGGGTTGAAAAAATGCAATCTTAAATTAGGAAAAGATATCCAGATCGGAACTATAGGAGATTCCTCCTTAACATCGAAAAACGGCGTCCACTTTAAAATACACATTTGGCAATTCAAAATGAAATAAAATATTCTCGCAAAAACCCGACTATAATCCAAATCATTCGAAAGTTGGATCGCAACATGCTTAGAATCCAGTAAACCAACCGAAAAAAAACCCGTAAGTTTCAGATTTCCAAAAAACAATCGGATAGCATCAAGGTTTGGACGACGAACTCCAAATTTACCGACAAGGGTATACCGAAAAGGAGAAGCAAGCTTAAGAACTTCATCATCAGAAATTAAAACAGCAGGAACTCCGTTAAAGGTCGAAGTAGATAGAGATGAAACGATATCACCTGCAGAACCGGCAAGCACATCTTTAAAAGATCTGGATTTAGACGGAGAGGTCGTATCAGCATCAATATTGAAAAACCCTTTGTTTTGAACTTGAGTTTTCGAAGAAACATTCCCCCAAGCCGAGAAGGAAGCATCCCCCGCCATAGACTTAGGCCCAAAATGGGCCAAAAACAGCAAAGCACCCCAGAAGGCAACGATCTTTTGAAAATTCACACGAAAAAGCCACGGAACAGCAGTAGAGAACGGCCGAGAGAACGAAGGAGGCGGAAACCCTAATTCGCTCGAGCGGCGCTAGGGTTGAGGAGAGAGGTTATGGTGAAGTAATGGTGTAATTAAATCTAATAAGGCTCATATATAGATCATAATTATTAACTAATATAATCAGCTCATCCTGTCGCCCAACATTGATTCATTGGATTAAGATTTTGAGTTGTTGGCTCTTTTAAGTTGAAAGTATAATTTTTTTCTTAGGATGAAAATAAGATTAGATAGAGTCGTCTTCGATAGTTTGATCACATAAAATAGCAGTATTCCGATGACCTAATTAGAAAAGTAGACGTATTTGATTTGATTTATGTTAAGAAAGGTGGAGGTAGACCTAAAAAGACTTTGTTAGAAAATATTATAAATGACTTTTCTTTATTAGATTTAGTCTTCGTTTGGAACAATTATTACGTTCTTCGACCGGACGTAGAGGAACGTCCGGTCGGAGGCCAAATCGTGCCAAAAAACGAGAAATACCGAGCAAATACTAAGCAATATTACCAAACAATAACGAGGAATATCATCACGTGAAGACCCAATACCGAGTTATACCGAGCTATACCGAGCAATACCGAGTTATACGAAAGTTGTACCGAGTTTTTCCTAGCTAGAAAAAACTCAGTACAACTCGGTATTGCTCGGTATAGCTCGATATAACTCGGTATTGATCTTCACAGAGCGGTATTCCTCGTTATTTTCAAATACCTGGTAATACCGAGAAAATACAGAGTTTTTTTGCGGGATTTTGCCTCCGACCGGACGTTCCTCTGCGTCCTTACACCGGACCTAATAAAAGTTCCTTCGTTTGGGACAGCTTTCTAATTAAAAATTTTCATGAATTAAAAAATTTTGCACCTAAAAAAGCTATTTTAGAAAGCAATAAAAAGCCGTCCCAAACGAAATAGTAAATGAGAATTGAACTCTTAACCTGATACAATAGAGAAAAAAGGATTCATGTAGCAAACCCGACATACATAGTGGGATAAAGTCATTCAATGTGTGAATATACATGCATTAAATTCTTGTGTGTTTTTATGTGTAAATACTCATAATATTTCATATATTTTCCACTCTCTGAATTTGAATAGATTTTGCCTATTTCTCATGAACATGTCTGGTATTTATCAGCTACGATATTGGCCCTTTTAACTCTGTAGAAAGTAGAAAAGTTCCCTCCTACTCTAACATATATCAAGCAGAGGGTACTCAATGCAGGTTTGTCTGCTCTCAAATTAATAATATTTTCACAAGTTGATAGATATAGAGACTGTGTTGTTGGAGCCACACAAGAACAAAAGAAGCTGATGAACACCGTTGTTCATACTCGTCAAAGCCCATTGACAGCAAAACAAAGAAGGCATGCAAGAATCAACTGAGGACGGCAGAAGCTAAACATTATGACAAATTTGCAGTCATTAGGCAACTGTAAATGGATTATTGTTATAGACTAAGGTTTCGTTTGGGACGATTTTTTTATTGCTTCTTGAAGTAACTTTTTAGTTCAAAAATCAAATTTTTGTACTTAAAATCTGCTTTAAGAAGCAGTAAAAAAACCGTTCCAAACAGGACCTTGAGGTGACTTTCTTACTGCTTCTTAAAGCCGCTTTTTAGTTAAAAATTTAATTTTTTTTGTATTATAAAACTGTTTTAAGAAGCAGTAAAAAAAAACTGTATCAAACAAAACCTAAGAGACGGTAATAGATTATTTTAGTTGAGATATGTATGACTGAGCATGGGAAGATTGGCAAGAACAAATTAAAAGACTAGAGGTTTGACCTAGTATTTTTGTTGAACTAGATAAGGCTAAAATTATAAAAAAATATTAAAAAATATTTATCAACATGCTTGGACAAATTACTTAAAACAGCCATAATTAACGACAAAAGTGGATTATTTTCCAATTAGTAGAGCTGATATGAATTATTTTTACAGCATTAATATGATTTAAGATAGCCATACCCACTTAAATTGATGGTAGGTATTAGAAGAACTGTTATTGAATACTATTTAATTTAAATAATTGTTGTGGAAAATTAATTTTAAATATATATGCAGAAATTAAAGCAATATAAATATGATTTATTTGTCTTCCCATAATGTTCCCTCATTAGCAAATGTAGGATATAAATCAAGAGGAAGGGAAGGTCATCATTCATCTTTCATAGGCAAATTATATTGAAATAAAACACATCAATTAAGTAACTTTATTTTTTACCATTTTGTAAAAAATCCTTACATGAGAGCTCTCTTGTATTTTCTAGTGAAAGAAGAAGATAAAACTAGTGAGAGCTCTCTTGCATTTTCTAGTCATCGACGCCGACGACCACCACGTCGCCACCGATGACCAACTTCAAAAATCATCACTTTCTCCATAATATTAAAGGATTTAACCCTGCTATTGGGTATATTTGTCCATCTATGGAGATCAATTTTCTAAAATTCATGTTGAGATATTTTAGCCTTATTGTTAGGCATAGATCATCCATATGTAGACATTTGATCTTTGTACATGTTGCGTCCTGGAGTATTCGCGGCGGTAGAGAAATATTTAGTTTAACGTCTTAGCGTTGTACGAAAATCCGGCACGCAATCAGATAAGAAGAGAGGGTCTAGCATTTATGAGACACCATAATTTTGCGATGCCGTATCAGTACACAAGAAAGCAAGATTTTTGTATCACTTACTACATAGTAAATTTAGTTATTGGGCTAGGTCCCGTGATTTTTCCTTTTCCAAGTTTTTCACATAAAGAAGTCTTCTGGTCTTATCATTTTTATGTGTTCATGTTAAATCTTTCAATGCAGCTAAGATGTGAAGCATAAACTCTCACTACAAGAAAATCGTCCAATTCTGGCGGGAACTGCTAATTTCCGACTGCTTTTATCATTTACGGCGGTTTTCCTATAGTTAAAATGTTGCCGGAATAAACTGCATAAGAAATTAAAACTGAGAGAAAAAAGTCACATAAAACC